TAGCAAACATCATCATAGCTACATGCGGCTGTCTTCTTGTTTGATGGCAGATACTCCCTTCACCCTGGCCAAAAAGGCTAAAATGACGAAAGAAAAAGTGGACGAAATTCATAGGGTAGTGAAAAATTTATAGTCAAAGATCTCCATCCATTTTCAACGGTGGAGTCACCATCATTCAGGTGAAAAATGTTGTATTACTCTGACATAAAAAAATAGACTGTATAATACTGTAAGGGTTAATATGTTCATAGCTGCTTAGCTTTGTAAGTCTTCTCTAAATATTATAAGTAAACTATATTTGAATAAAAGGTGAGCTATATGTTTTTATTTTTTATCTGGAAGAAAAAAATTAATGAAAATTCAAATGTATTTTCTGTTTATTCTGGGAGCTGCTTTATATGTTTTATTTATTTTATCTGAAAAAAAGAATTAAATTTCAAGCCAAAAACACTTTCTTTTTATAAATCTGTTTGGGGTTTTTTTTGTTTCTTTTTTGTTTGTTTTTTTTCAATTCAGGGAGATGTCCTCTGCCCTTAATCCGAGGTATCAGCCCCCATCCAGGGATGATCTATCCAACACACTTATACCTGCTTGGTATTGCGTGGAGAAAAGCAACCTCATCCAGAATTTGGCACAGGTTAACAAGGTCGCTATCACCTGTGATGGATGGACCAGTATTGCTCAGGACCATTTCCTCACAGTGACTGTTCACTACATCTACAAAGGCAAAATGAAGCAGAATGTGCTCAGCACTGAAGCAGTTTATGAGTCACAAACAGATCCAGTTGTCGCTAAAGAAATATCAAGCGTTATGAGCAATTTCACTTGGGAGGGAAAATAATTGCTGCCACTGTAGACAATGCCTGCAACATGGATGTTGCTTTGAAAAAATTGGACTTTTTAAAAGTGGGATGCTTTGCTCATACCCTCAACCTGGCCGCACAAAAGGTGTATGACATTCCTGCAGTTTCCAGCTGGTGTGCCAAAATCCGTTCAGTTGTGGTGTGGCTCAAACGTTCATCCTTGAGCAAAACTGTGCTCAGAGAAAAGCAGCGAATCCTGAGTAAGTAGCGCATGCAGTTACATATCAAGAAGTATTGTCATTCATATTACCTTTTTTATAGTAATTTAAAATATGTTTGTGTCTATCTGTGCTTTAGATTTGCCAGAGCATAATGTAATTCTTGACGTTAAGACGCGCTGGAATTCTCTCTTCCTAATGGTGAAGAGATTTATGGAGCAGTTTGATGCAATCCAGGCAGCTGCTCTGGATCAACGGCTGAGGAAGCCTATGGAGAAGGACAAGTAAGTGAATGACATGAGCATCACTTGCAAGAGCTAAATAACGTCAGTTACCTTTAACATTGTGAATATTTTTCAACAGGCTAGAAAGGTTCACGCACACTGATCTAATCAAGGCAGAGGAGTTTATTAAGTGCATGCAAGTCCTGTACACGTCAACCATGTGTGTCTCAAGTGACAAGTCACCCACATGCAGCCAAACCATCCCCATCCTGGCCAAGCTGGAGGCACATTTCAGACGATGTGATGAAGACAGTGTTTTCACCTCTTCAATAAAAGA